TGTTCATCACAGCTCTGTTTACAATAGCCAGGATATGGAACCAACCTAAGTGTCCATCGATGGATGAATGGATAAGGAAACTGTTGTATATATACACTATGGAATACTACTCTGCCATAAAAAAGAATGAAATTCTCCCATTTGCAGCAACATGGATGAGCCTGGAGAAACTTACATTGAGTGAAATAAGCAAAGCACAGAGGGATAAATACTGCCATGTCCTCACTCATAAGTGGGAGCTAATAGAGAAGGAAGGAAAGAAAGACCATAGTAGTGCACTGGACTTGCAGAGGGAGAGAACACACCTTGGGCTACAAAGTGGAGTGGGGGGGAAAGGGGGAAGGGGAGGGAGGTTGGGGATAATTGGGTGGGGGACATGTGATACAAATGCAATTTGTGGTAATGAGTATGCTGTCAGTATGAATCTGGCCTTCACTTCTTGGGCATGAGGGGTGACAATCAGCTTTGTATCTCATGAATATTCATAGTGAATTAAAAAAATATATATGCGCCAAGTATCAACTGTAAAAAAAAAAAAAGAAAAGAAAATTATGTTAAGTGAAATAAGCCAGACAGGAAAAGAGAAATATCACATGTTCTCACTTAATAATTGGGAGGGGGGAGGAAGGAGGGAAAAAAAGGAAGAAAGAAAGGACCAAAACAATATGTTGAACTTTCAGAAGGGGAAAACAAACCTAAGGATACTAGAGATGAGGGGGAGGTGATGGGGGTTTGGGGAGGGATAGGTTGGGTAAAGGGCATAAAAAAATGATTAGTAATAATAATGTGCTTCTAATAAATAATAAAAAATAAAGAAAAATAAAGAAAAAAAATTTTAGTTGCTTACCAAAAAAAAATAAATAAATAAATAAAACTAAAAAACCCCCCAAAACATAGGACTACAGAATTAGCAGCAGAAGCTTGGTTATCCAGTCTTCATTTGAACAATCACAGTGTTGAGGAGTTCAATACTTTTGAGCAATATTCATATATGTAATGCTTTAAAACATTTTTTAAAAAATATTTAATTGACAAAGATTGAAAATATTAAAAAAAATAAAAATAAAAACACTGTAATTTGAATACCAGACCAACAGTTATCTGAACAAAAACAGACACACCACTCTTGATTTGGTCAATCTCTGAATCTGGCTCCTCCTTCATGGGCCCAAATGCAAATTTCGGTGTTCACAACTGACCAAGGAACTGTGCGCCATCAGCAGCCAATCCGAACTGAATAACCTGTATCCTTCATTTGCATAAGAGGAACTCAACAAGAACTTGAGCAGGAAGTTAGGTGGGAACTTTTGCTATATAAGACAATCCCTTTCCCTTGTTCACCAGAGTGTACTTTTGGTTCCCTCTAGAGCCTGTGTTTCTCTGGTTTGCAAACTGTCATTGCCAGTAACACTCTTTTTTTTATGGATCAAGTGCCCCAGTGATCTTTTGAATGACACTACCATGTAGAAGAAACTTAGATCAAACCAACTTGAAAAAATATTTTGAGTCACCTGAAAATATTTCCAGAGACTCACAGAGTTGGTATGCTATAAGGGATTTGAATAATATTACAATCACACTGCTTAATGTAATATAAATTCAATCCTTCCAGAACTGCTTTAGTGCATTTTGAGAAACTTACTTTAGAAACCAAGAGCTAAAGACAGATCAGAGTATACGATTACCTTAGTTCTTAGCACACATTTTAGATGTTTCCAGTTTTAACAGACAGACTTTGAACAAATTATTTTATAACAAACTAAAAGATGTAAAAGAGATGCAAAAAGGATCCCCTGGATATAGGTCATTAAGTAGGAGGGGTTTTTAAGAAATTTGTGGGATATTTCCTGGATACTGCTGTGGAATTAGGAAAAAAGTACAATCTATCCTTCAAGCCAGTGTTTTGAAATTCCTTCCTTTGTAGATGCTTATAGAAATGTCTCATATGAAGAGAATAATCAGAACTCAATAAAGTAATTCAAAGTACTATGATGAAATAAGTTATTCAAATTATCTAAATTATCCAAATATACAAATACCTAATAGGTTCTGATCAGCTTTGGATGATTCTTAATAATATTTATAAATGAAATTCTTTCTGACAAAAAAAATACAGTCAAGCTTTCTGCCTAAGAAACTCTCTTTATAACACTGAGAACATTTTACAAGAGCCTGGTAGGTAACTGGGTGAGAATACTCAGCTTTGCTCTTGGGAGACATCCTAGCAGGGGGTGCTACTCCCACTGTGACAGGCATTGGGGAAGAGTAAGACAGAACAACTTGTCAGGTTTCCATATTAGATCTGTAGAGCAAGAGTTCCATCTGCTTGTCTGTATTTTCAACTGTAGTTTGGTTTTATGTGTTTATTTCAAGGTCTTAAAAAATGCTGAAGAGCTATTATTTTTTTCAAGAAGAATAACCATGTTGAAACTCAAGAAAATTGGAGAATACAATGGCATTTTTTGGTGATGATCTAGACTATGGGAAGTCAAAGATTTCCATTATCATGATCACTAGGAGAAAGGGCATTCTATTTGAAATTTTAAAAGCCTCAGATATGATACTTCACAAAAGTTCAGTATAAGAAAAAGAGATTCGGCTTTTAAATTTTCAAAGTATTAGGAATAATATTCTGGCAGAGAATTTGAATGGTTCATAGCGATAGGTATTGCTTATGTAAAAGAGAACCTACGGTTGTAACTTGCTGCCTTAGGAAAAAAATTAAAAGATGGAAAAATAATACATCTTTCATAGTCACTTGATAAAACACATGCTCACAACTTATTTCCTAAGACATTATGTTCCTAAGTTTATTACTTAAATGTTAATTATTCTCTGTGCCGATGGAATGATAATTCCGTATCTTATTATCTATCAGTAGAATTTGAACACTATATATAGGATGCTTTTCTCTTCGATGGCAGGCAATGAAAAAATAAATAATTTACCTTATAGGCATTCTAACACACCTAATGACTTGCCTGAAATCTCAGATGTGGATTTTATGACACAGGATTGGAAGGAGCTATGCAAAGTGATGTTCCTTTCCTGCTGAGAAACAAATGAGCACACCCCAGTGGATCTGACCTCAAACAACCAGATTTGTAAAGTCACCACTTAACTTCCTCGGAGAAAAACCATCCCCAGACAGCTGTGCCACATTGCTTGGCAGTCCAGCTGGACAAATTAGTGTTAATCCATTCAGCCACAGAGTCTGCCTGTGGTCTTCTACACCAAACTGCCATCTGAATTGCTAAAGAGATTTTTAACCACCCTACTTAAAAAATATCAGATATGATCCATGACTGCCAAATTTAAAACTGATATGCAACTTTTTTTTTTTTTAAAAGGGAAGCCTTTAATTTAAAATTACTCAGTGACTCACTTCCCAAATATTTATAGGGTACTCACTAGGTGCAAAGCAATTTGCTGGGCACTGAGAGAGAATGTAAACCAGAATAGATGGACACAGTCCGTACTTTCATTGAAAACTGAGTATTCACTTGAAACTCCTACACCTATGTTTGTTCCAGGAGAAATAGGTAGTGCAAGTACCTTGAGGTATTTATTAATTTTGAATTACCACCTTAGAAACCTCAAAATGAAAACAAATGCCACTGTCTTAACATACTGATGCAGTACTTCATAAATAAAACACTTAAAGAACATGTTTACTCAAGAACTGGAGAAAAACGATGGAACAGAATAAAACAAAAGCAGCGATACTACCACACTCTACATAGGGTGAAAGCCTAACTGCAGACAAAAAAGGATCCCACGTCAAATCCAGCACGGCTTGTCCCACTTTTGCTTCAACGTCACAGGTCCTGTCTCTGATTTCCTTCACATGCATGTGTGAGAAAAACCGTGCACCACGTGTTACCCACAAAGGCATAAACACCATCCCTTCTACACTGTGGGCCTCTCAGCTTCACCAACTACCCTAATTACCAGGTTTTCTCTGCTCTTTGCGTCACAATGTCTATTTCAAGCAATTGCATACTCACCTCTCCTGTTCTGTCTTCCACCTTAAATTACAAATAGTCATCTTTACTTTAAAATATTTACAGGTCATCTGACCTACATATTATTTGTTAACTTCCATTTTACACTATATTCCTAACAAATCTTTCTCCTTTTCCCAAATATAACATCAAGTGATCACAGCCATGAAAAAAAGATACCCCAGGAATTTAACTTCATCCCAGAAGTTAGGAAATTAAAAAAAAAAAAAACCAAAAACTATATTCCTAACAAATCTTTCTCCTTTTCCCAAATATAACATCAAGTGATCACAGCCATGAAAAAAAGACACCCCAGGAATTTAACTTCATCCCAGAAGTTAGGAAATTAAAAAAAAAAAAAACCAAAAACTTTCTTATTAGAAATGGTTATTTTGTGTTGTTCAATAGCTTTCACAATTTTATTAAGTAGGAAAATATATTTCAACACTAGAAGCTGCAGCAGATATCAAATGCTTAATATGCAAAATACTCAGATATAAACAAGTTGTAATCACTCAGCAACCTCCTGACATAATGTTTTTGTAAAGCATCTTTGTCTCACAACATTAAGCAAATCACTTAGTGATTTCTTTTAGCTGTCATGAATACAAAACTTCAATAAATTTACATCAGCGTGGTTCAAAACAGTGTACATTATGTAAAAGCAGAACAATCGTGATAAGGTGTCTTTTAACCTCAGGAAGAAAAAATATTTCCACAGCTACCCCAAAATAAAATAAAATACTGAAAGATGATTAAGTTATTAAAGGAGTTTTTAAAAAACGTAATTTTACTTACATCAAGGGAGTCTTCATTTATAACAATCATTCCCATGTTCTTCTTCAAAAGTTTGCAGGAGTGTCCTATGTCCAAACACAGAGTAAATTAATTGACACAATTTCTCCAGAGAGAAGAAATGCAGATGTTAAGGTAACAATACTATCAAAATATCTCAAGATGATTTTATTCGGAGTGATGGCAGTCAGCTGTTTTCCAGGTTTACAGGAAGTTAAAAATGAAATGCTGTTGCTTGCTATAGGAGGGATGAATACAAGGGCAACGTTCGGCCTGCTCGGGCTTCTTGGTAAGTAAATATGGAAAGAGACTGTGGTAAGGATTCTTCTAAGTGATGAATACCTTTCATGACCCCTGGTGACTTCTGTTCTTTCACACCCTACTCCAATCTATCAGTCAATCCTGTTGGCTCTACATTTAACACCTGAGGAGAACCCAGCCCCTCTTCCCCACCTCCACTGTGACCCCTGGTCCAAGCAACCACCATGTTTCCCCTGGATTAACGCAAAAGCCTCTTCACTGGTCTCCCTGCTTCCACGCTTGCTTCCCTCCACGTCCATTCTCAGACTAGCAGCCAGAGTGACTGTTCTCACAGTAAAGTCAGACCATGTCTTTCCTCTGCTGAGAACCATCCAGTGGTGTCCCTGTTCACTTGGAGTAAATACAAAGTCCTTACAACGGCCTAGGAGGCCCCATCCAACCTGGGCTCTGCTCTGCTTCTGGCCTCTTTTCCTACTGTTCTCCCCCTTAGCATTTGTGCTCTTTCTCTCTATACCAGAATATAGCTTTTCTTTAATCATGTGACAAGCTCCCACTCCTATTTTAGGTCGTTGCTCAAAGGTTAGTTTCTCAATCAATGACTTCTCCTGATCTCCCTATTTAAAACTGAATCTCTGTGCACAATGTCTTATGTCCTCCCCTTTTATTTTTTCTTTATAGCAATGATTGCCATCTAATCTAAGATGTACTTTTCTAATTTACTTTATTGTCTGTTCCTGATTAGGATCTGAGCTCCACAAGGGCAGAGGTTTTGTTGTTGTTCCCTGCTGTGTTCCTTGCACTTAACTTAGCTGAACAATATAAACTGTTTCCCCAAAATCAGAATTAACTGTAAGATGAATGCAAACTGGAAACCTTCTTATTTCCTATCTCAGAAATAACCTTTGGTCAATAACAAGTGTCAATACAGAAGGCTGCCATAGTCCAATCTCCAGACGTTCACAGATAACTGCAGAAATGTTATCTACATATGCCACTTATGGATGTTAGGTGAGGTAGGCAGAGATGAAAAGGTGAGAGAGGGCATTATGTGATTTCAAGATCTAAAGTTTGGCAGTATATAAAGTATATAACTTTAAAGGGGTATTGGGGCCAACAGTAAATACATAAGCCTCATATTATTACTAATCTAGAATTCTGAAATATCGAATCTCTCAAATCTTAAAATGTCTCAAATCTATCTTCTAAAATATATCAACCTGTTAAAAATCACCAAGATTTAAAACTTGAATTAGTTGAATTACCAATGTTAATGGCAGTTTCTTGCTTGTCCCCTGTAAGGATCCAGATTTTGATGTCTGCTTTCATTAGCATCTCTATGGTTTCAGGCACTTGATCTTGTAATTTATCCTCAATGGCTGTAGCTCCAAGCAACTGAAGATTCTGAAGAAAATGAGTGGTAACAATTTTAAGAAAACCAGTCTAGATTCTTTAAGAATGAAAAAAATTGAAGTGTGTGTGTTTTAAAATCAGAGACTAAATGATAATTCATTGACTTTGTTGTAAATTCCATCTATCCCACTGGGTTTTCTCTCAAGGATTCTTGACTTTCATCCAGTACTTTTAGCACGAGATTGAGGCTCCCTGAAGCTGTCTTACCTTACTACTGTCCTCTCTAAGGTAAAAAACTGACCCTAAAAAAAAAAAAAAAAAAAAAAAAAGG